TTGAACGAGACATCCAAGCCTCTTCAAATCTGAATTTCTTTTGTCTACTTGCTTGGTGAAATACTTTGGCACTTCACCAAAATAAGATGATGATGAGAATGAGCTCAAGGAAGATTTAATACCTAAGCATATGGGAAGAGATCACACTAGGCCTCATTAACCACTATTTAATCTTTCCTTAGTGTACACCAAGCCATCTCCTTTCTTACTCCATGTGTATTTTGGTCTGAATACACCTAAATAGAAAATGCTATAATAATTTAAGCAGTCAATCATCTAATTGCATTAAAAGAAGTTCATGCTACGCCTTCCTATCTTTTCATCAGTTGAAATAACTTGGTTGAAATATCACATCACTCACTAAGGCAAAGAATGTAGCTCACTAGCTAAGCATAGAGACTAACAAAGCCTTTTCCTTTTTCCTGCCATAAAACTTCCATAAACCACCGTCAAAAGCCATTTACCTTTCGATGAAGTAATCATAACATGGATTAGTTATGATGAGTATGCCAATATTTCAATTTGTAGTGAAGTTTCATCCAACAACAACGATACACCCTTTGAAAAACCATTTGCCTCTACTCTAAAAAAATTAAGAAATCCAATTTTATGACATATCTTAGTTGCTCTATCATCTAAAATCATTGGCTTCAGGATGATTACTAATTGTAACTTATGGATTCTGATCATATTCTTTACATTCTTAACACTTCTGTAAGAGGCTGCTCCTCTCACATTCAAACTCAAAGTATTAGCCATAAAAATAATAAAATATACAAGAACAACTGGTAATAATCATACCAATCCATCAGCAAGAATTTATCTTACATGATATCATGTTCTCCTTCTTCCATTTTCATAAGATCTTTTTCTGCATGGACAGTCCTTTTTTCACATGTAGTACCATTCACTCCCACCCCTAAGTTATTGATAGTAGCTTCATGGGCTAAAGTATTAAGGATTTCAATACTTGGGTTGGGCACTTGAAGGCTTCTATCTGACAATTTTACTATTCATGCATCTTTATTCATTAATTCAAGAGACATTTCAGTGGCATCAAGAGTTCTATTATTGTCCTATGTATTGGCTGCACTATTAGGCACCGAAATCTTCTTTGAAGAGGCTATTTTAATGGCACCAGAGTGAACGCTTTTACCCTCTGCTTTTGCTCAAGATTACTCTCTATTTGCAACATTGGCAGATTGTTGTAAAGATCGCTTCAATATCTCTTTATCTTTCAAGCTAGTTACAATTCCTTATTATTTAGCTACTTACGGCACAAGAAATGGTTGCTCTAAAGATTTAGAGATCACTTTTTCTTCACCATGACCTTCCTCGACTTCCTCTAACAAGTGGAATCTCAAGCTTGATTTTGGTTTGCTTTTAGTAATCTCTTCATGGCTAGTTTACTTCCCTCCAATCTTTGCTTCTCTCTTTATTCAATTAACAACATTCTTCTTACAACTTTCTTTGGCTACCATCCATGGACCAAATCTAGAGGTATCAAAATCCTTTACACGATTGTTATTAAATCATCCACTTTTAGTGCTTTCTTCTCAGACAATCCTTTATTCACTCTTTGTTTCACAGAACAAACCTCTACAATATGACAAAATTTACCATTGAAAACAAAGCATTTGGAGTTCTTCATACTCAATTCTTTGCCGTCGCTAACCAATAAAGACTTTAGACACTAATGGTTTAGTAAGGTCTAACTGCAAACACATATGGCAAATTTGCCTTTAGTGGCATAGGAAATAGTGTTGTCTATCTTTAAAGTTTGTCTCAACTTATTTCCAATTCTCGATAAAATGTCTTTATCATAGTACTCAATTGGCATGCTTGGTAGTTTAATCCAAGCAGCAACCGAATCAATAGAAGTTTTCTTTAAATGAAAGCCTAGAGACCATTTTTTAATAGTCAAATAACGATCCGCAATAATCCACAGACCTTCAGAGAAAACATAATTATAGTTAGACTTGTTATTGAATAAAAAACAATGGTACCCATTATCAAGGTCTACTGCTTGAAAATCACCAATCAAAGACCATAACTATTCAACCCTATTACAAAGATAAGTATAGCTAATATCTCTCCCAAGTAGCTTGACAATGATGAGATTATTCTTCCATGGTCTTCGAATTCTCTATTTCTCCTCTTTATTCAACCTTATGTAAAGTAATTTTGTCATCACTTCATTAGTTTCTTCATCTGAATCTGAGTCATCAAGTATTTCGCCCTTCTCTTCGAACTCCTCATCAAGCTGTAAGGTTTCTTGGTTTCCATGCATAAAAATATTACGATTTAGCAATGTCTCCTTCAATTGGAACCTATTCAAAACCATGGGGAACATTTTGCTGATTTGAGTTTGCATTAGAATTCAAACAAAACCTTCCTCTTTTCAATCCTACTTTCATTTCATTCAGTACTTTATCCATCCCAACGGGCGGTGATGGATCGCCGATCGGATCCACCTCCATGAGGCACGATGTGCAAGATTTCCTTAATACGGTGCAAGATAGCAACTATCCCTTAACTTACGTCTCTAAAGCTTTTCATAAATTTTTATTTTGTTATTATTATTTTTACATAAAATTTAAGGATTAAAAATTTAAATGTTCTAATCTAGCATGCCATAAATTAAAAGAATGCTCAATAGTATAAGTAAAAGAATTATTTATTTCATTTATACTGAATTTGAACATTCCGTCACAAGAATATCCTTTCCCAACAAATACAACGTTTTTTGATATTACAACCTTACTAGATTCTAATACAATCTTAAAACCGTTTTTACATAATAGATGTGCAGATATAAGATTTTTTTTAATTTCAGGAACATGGAATACGATAGGTAAAGTTAACTTTTACTCTAAGGTAAATTTTAACTCAATCGTTCCTTTGTCAAGCACTTTAGTAGAATTATGGTTCTCTGTTAGAATTTTTTCTAATTTCTTGAGTTCTTCATAACTCTTGAACTACCTTTTGTAATTGCAAACATAAATAGTAACACCAGAATCTAGCCACCATTCTGAATATTTTGTTATAGTAGCCATGTGTACTTTGGTAGTCATTCCAATATACATTTCATTCACCATCGCAATAAGCTCTTTGACATCATGTTCAACAAGGTTTACTTTATCATTAAAACAAAAAACGGTAATCTTGTGTTCAAGATTTTTAAAATTTCTAAACTTGCACTCTTTGATAAAATGTCATTTCTTTCCACGATGATAACTCCTTTTATCACTCTTAAATTTCTTAGATTTCTTGAAGACAATTTTCTAAACTCTGTTTCTTGTCAATTTTCTAAAATATTTTTTTCTTTTCATTGATGAGGTTTACAATTGATCCAAAAATGAGTGCATTTCTAATATTATTTTCTTCCTTAATATGCAAATGAGTTCGAAACTCTTCAATAGTAAAACTTTTTGGAGAATGTAAAATTTTCTTCCTATATCCATTTCGAGAAGGTAGAAGTTTGGACAAAATTGCTCATACTCGAAGTGAGTTAGAAATTTTGATTTCCAATTTACTTAATTTAAAGGTCATAATTCGTAACTCATGTTGATATCCGTCATGGTAAACTCGAAGTATCTCAATGCAAGAAATTTATCTATACATTTTATCTTTTTTGTACGTTTCTTCAAGTGCAATCCAAATTTCCTTTGCTAAAGTCTTATATATGAAAAGATCATACAATTGAACAGTAAGAGAATTAAGGATGTATCCACAACATATAAACTCGTCATGTTTCCATTTCTCTGTGTTAACATTAGTAGTGGTTACGATAGCTATTGTTATTGTAGTGATGTTCTCAGAAGGTGTTATTTGTGTTGTTTTTGCTTATGTGATCTTTTCTAGAATTAATGGTTGATTCATCTCAAGAATATAATAAATCTTCAATGTGTTTAATAAGAATACCATATTGTCCTTCCATCTAGTAAAATTCGTTCCATCAAATTTGTCTAGTTTAATCACTTCTTGATTTGGAAGTGAACCTTCACATTAGAATCCAATCCAATCTCCATCGCGAAACAATTGCGAAAAAGATTTAAAGAAATACCTTAAAAAAGAAATTATTAAGAAGAAGAAGATTACTTTGAGGGCATAAATAAACACTTTCCTTAAACAAATTATAGGATACAACAAAATCTTTAACACACTTAACATAATAGTGAAAATGACATAACGCTATATATATAATAAGTCAACTTATACTTCTTTCAATGTAAAGAGTTGTTTCTTTTTATAATATTACTCTTCAAGTAGTTGTTTCCTTTCATAATTTAACTATTCAAAAGTTATATTTAATTAGATAACTTTTTATAATTTTTTTAATTTTTCATCAATAAGCATTTTTTATAAATATTATTTTATTATTTAATTTGAAAATTAATTACTTATTAGTATTTTAGTTTAAGAGTCCAAATACCAATATAATGAATCTATCTAATGCAAAATGGGTTGGGTTTGCCTTTGACGAGAAGGTCTGTGTTTGTAGATGCTGATTGTCTTGATCATTTCGAGATTCAATTTCCTGCTGTATTGGTGAGTCTTGTTTGAACTAAATGTGTCTCGCTTTTGTTGCAGGGATGATTGTCTATAAGCAAGCTAATACTGACGTAAGAGCTAGAAACAGAGATAAGTCTTGTCTGTTTACGGTTTTTTTTGTCGGCTAATTGTGTCATGATGTAGCTGTTTTCGTGTACCTTATGTGGCTGTTTTTTTTTTACGAATATTTTGAGCTGTTTGACCATGGACGGAGGCCCTGGTTGATCTCTCCTTAGCCAGGGTGCTTGGCTTTCTCAAGCAAGGCTTAATTTTCGAAAGATAAAGTAATATTAAATGTCAGGTTTAAAAATGTGTAATGATAGAACCAATATTAGGATAATGGACGTAACAGTATTTAGTGTCACCAATGGCAAGGTTTGCTTTGAGGAAATATGTTGCTAGTAAATTATATGTCTTATAAGCTGTACACAAAAATATGGGTATCTATATGGTACTTTAATGGAAGATTGACTAATTATCCAAAAAAAAAAAAAGCAGTAAAGAACTAGAAAAACTGTACAATACCCTGAGCAAAGTTGAGAAAACTCCTTATTGATCATATTTATCTTCCTTCTTTTGTTAGAAGCTGATGGGGTCTGTCGTGGATATAGTTATTTTGTATCTTGTACAAGCAAAACTTATTGGAATTTGCGCTTCAGCAAATAGCCTGGCAGCCATGTTAATGGCACTTTTCATCTCTTCTGGAAGTTAAATGCCTTGATTGAGAATGCAAAGATGAATCCGAAGAGCACGCATATTCCAACTACTACGATTGCAACCACTCCCACAAATTCATCTCTGAAACCGAAATAGTTTCTAACAAAATGTTCCACTGTTTCACCAGAGTCAAACGTCTCCTTTATGTCTCCATATTGTGAAGCAATTAGTCCATACAATGTCCAAGAAATGGGGCACACCCAGTAGTACCATCTCCACCAAACAGGAATCCTCTGTCATTGGATCAAATTTCAGGTCATTAGACTATGGTCTCATTCTGTGTATCAAGAAAGTAGAAGGGTACGTTACTAAAGCTTACTGTTCGGGGAATGATAAATCCTGAGAAAAGATTCCATAGTGCAAAGAAGGCAGATGAAACTATGGCAGCAATATTGTGGTTTGGAGTAACAGCCACGGTCATCATCCCGTAGAAGGTGAAGTATAAGAAGGTGAAATACATGAAGAAGAGATACCAAAAGAACTTGGCAGCTGTCCATTCGAATCCAATCATGGCATACACTATAACTCCATATATGACGGTTTGAACCAGGACGTATGGTAGCTCAACCACAACCTGCAAAACAAATTGGTAAGCATCAGCTTGTTTCCAATGCCTAGACTTATTACTAGCTAAACTTTAGTTCCCCGTAGAAAGTCTAATTTGCCTAATCTCCAAAACGAATGGCAATATTACCTGTCCGAATGCATATGGTAGCGCTGAATACATCCCAGCTGCCCTTTCTCGATAAAAGACTGTTCTTTCAACTGCCACAACTGGTTGAACTGCTGCTGAATTTTGAAATCCTATAAAGAGAACAGCGGCATACATAGAACCCATTGAATTGAGAACATCCTGTTGCCTTGTTCTGCAATTCCCAAGCATTTTGATTGATTCAGAGATCCAAAATCAATAAGACTTTTCTCTCCACTACACTATTGGCATTAAATATTTATATACCTTTTGGAACCTAGATCCCAGAATATCGTCCCAAACAATAGAGCAATAACAGTCGTGAATAAAAATCTCACTGCTGTGTATGGTGGGTTTCGCCAGTATGACCAGTACTGCTTCCATAGGCAAGCCATACATTGAGTGATCAAAGATTGTGAATATCTAGTCAGGAAGTACAAATCCTTGGAACCAGGAGCAGGACTGCTAAGTTCCTTGACCAACGCCTTGTTTCTCCTGTACCATTCATTTTACAGAGTCAGTAATTGTTAAAAAAAAATAATTATGCATTAAACTTTAACAAGCTTTCAAGGAATTGGATATATATGTAGTGCATTCAAAATCAGTTAGGAGTTCTCCAATATGAAACTCAAAAACATCAACCACTTATAGGGGTGAGTTGATAATAACCGCTTTGACTTAATGTGATATTAAAGTTGAACCATGAATTCCTAGAGCTATGTATTTCCCTTCCTGTATCTGTCAGGTGATCCTACCTGTATAGTTCCGAGTTTTTGTATATGTTGGTAAAGTTGACACCAATGGTTTCTTCTTGTGCTGCTGAAGTAACCTCCAACATCCAAGTTGCGGGATTGTAGCCATCCTTTATCCTTGGGATTCCAGTTATTTCCTTCAACAAGCAAAATCTCTCAGCAATTTAGCAAGAGATGTAAGATAGTTCCTGGATATCAGGTATTCATGAAACTAACCTCAAAATACTTTATCAGATGGCAAGAATGGCGGCCCAATGGGCCCACATATATTTCTTCACCTCCTCTTTTCAACAAAAGTAGCTGTATTTTACCATTGATTATGTGCTTGTGTTAGTTTCAAGAAGCCAAAAGATATAAATGGGTGCCAAAACTTGGAAATGATTCTCACCTCATCAAAAGCATCAAATATATCAATGCTTGGTTGGTGGATGGTACACACCACAGTTCGTCCTGTATCCACAGTGTTCCTCACTGTTCTCATTACTATAGCTGCAGCCCTGGCATCAAGCCCAGAGGTAGGCTCATCCATGAATATTATGGACGGGTTGGCAACAAGTTCAACTGCAATTGTTAGCCTCTTGCGTTGCTCAGTTGAAAGACCATTCACCCCAGGCAATCCTACAAGTGCTTCCCTTAGTGAGGTAAGCTCCACAAGCTCCATGACTTCCTCAATGAACATCTGTATCACATCAATTTGATTTAAAACAAATACAATAACTTGCCTGAGCAAAACATAGTACTATAAAATGTTTTTGTCACTACAACCATTTAACTTTTCTAGTTTCTAGTAATTCCAACACCAGCAGTGCTTTTGAATGCTACTACATTACTTCTTTGTCACCTAGAAAATATATGATAGCGGAAGTCAGAACTTACCATCCTGGTCTCAGAATCAACCTCTGGGGGTAGTCTAAGCCATGCAGAGAAAAGCAAGGACTCGTAGACTGTAACATGGGGGGAATGGATGTCCGTTTGCTCACAGTACCCAGATATGCGAGCAAATGTTTCCTGCTTCTTTGGATACCCTGAAATTTTGATTGTTCCCTCAACATAACCACCAGTTTTCCTTCCGGCCAACACATCCATCAGAGTGGTCTTGCCAGCACCACTTACCCCCATCAGAGCTGTCAGGACTCCAGGCCTGAAAGCACCACTCACTCCCTTCAGAAGTTCCAATCGATCCTCAGAAACACCTTGAGCTTTCATTTCCTGCAATCATTGTAAAAGTTCAGGATGTAAAATTTGACAAGAACATTTTTATTATTATTTTTTTAACGTTTTTATGCTAGTCAAGAAACCTGGTGATTATGAAGAATTCCAAAGAAATTGTTGCACAGGAATATTATATTTTTCCATGTATGGAGCAAATCATTGTATTCAATAAAAATTTGACCAATCTCTACACAAAATGCCTTAAAAGTTTAGTAATTCATTTGCCTATGTTTCCTAGTTCCTAGTTTTGAACATATGGTTGCTTCTTGATAAAAGATAAGATACCTGTGGCATGTCTACAGCATATTTGATTTCATCAAAGCTCATAGACAGGGGCTCAAAAGGAAGAACCATGCCCCTCTTCCTGTTCTGATTAGCTTCATTGATGCTCCCAACTTTTGAAGACAGCGACCTGGATGATGCACTTCTTCTGCTTTCGATCCGTCTCTCTGCATTTTTTTTTGCATTGATCATGCTACAGCACGAATAATACAATGTAGCATCTGGGAATATAAACATCTGTATTAAATTAATTAATGACCCACCAGAAGAACCTTTTCCTCTTAACGATAGCTCAGCATTTTCTCCAGTCTTGCTAACAATTTTCTCGGCTAGGGTTTCTTTAGATATTACTGCTTGAGGCTTCCCAAATGCTGAATCAAATTAATGTATCAGAAAAAAGAGCTTCACATTTGAAAACTCAGAAATCAGATGAGAGAAACTTACGGTCAAGATATTTTAGGGTCAATGTGAAAAGGAAATTGAACAGGAAACAGTATCCAATCAAAGCGCCCACTCCAATCCAGTACCAGTGTGCTTCAGGGAAAATTCCACGAGACTTTAAGATCGAAACTCCTAATGGCTCCGTAGAGTTTGGAGGAATCTACAGTTCAGACATTTTCAGGTATTCAGTAATTGCTACTGATCAAAACAATTATTCTCATATCTTATGCTTCAATTTCAATTTTGAAAACTTTTGTCAGCATTCAAGGCAGTGTCGCTTACAAGTCTCCAACTCTTCCCTAGAAATTCGTTCACAGCAATGGCATTCTGTCCATACATCAATGGTGAGATCCAGTAACCCCATATCCACCATTTCTTGACATTATCTGATGCGGCAGAACGTAGCAGTCGCCATTAAAACTCAATATACATGATTGAGGTCAGTAATGGTAATAAATAGTATGATACTTAAATCTATTCAACTTTATATTTAATTCACCTCGGGTTAAGATGAATCCTCCCATAACAAGAACTGCAAGTAAAGCAAATGAACCACATGTATTTGCAACAATTATATTTCTTCCTAATCCTCCCATTAATCGGAATAGTCCTGATGCCATCTGGCTGAGACATAGGAGTATTAAGTAATGCTTGAAAAACCTGCCAATGAGCGCGTTAATTAGATTGTGATCGCACACAAAATGGACAAGTTAACAGATATGGTGTACAATGTTTCTCACCTCCCAGCATCTGGGTCAAAGCCAATGACATAATAAGTCATGAAAACCCAGATGGTAACTTCTAAGACGCTGATTGGGATCTTAAGAATCCATGCGGGTAGAGAATATGCCCATGAAGGATAGAAGAGAAGGTCCCTTTGCTTGTAGAAGATAGGAAGTTTCATGATGGTCATCGCAAGCTCCGCGAATCCATTGAACATTATCATGATGAGAATGAAGAACAGAGCTCCCATAAAAATAGCACCATCTGTCATCGTGTCTCGGTGCATCTTTGTCCTTAGAAATAATGTCATTGTTATGAGCCCCATGATAATGAGCTGAAAATTTCAGCAAGAAGAAAACATTCAGTTTGGACTTAAAAGTGTTCCAGGTATATTCTTAAAATAGTTTAGTCTCTTTACAAATTTTTGTTTACGCACTTGAATCATTTTGAAAACGTAGACGAATAAGTTCCTCTTCATTAGAAGATATTCCCTGGATACACAAGCTTTTATCAGATCTTTCTTGGAAACGCCATACTTCTCTTTTGTTAGAGCAGCCGGGTGGCTTTTGGACTTGTCAAACGGAATAGCAAGATCATCCCCTAGCTTTTGACCAATATGGAAAGACTGAAATGCTTCAGCGAATTCCTTGACAGAGACAAAACTGTAAGGCTCATCTTTTCGAGCCCAATACTGCTCCTGATCTTTCCTTGATGTCACCTGTTGTACCCCATGGATAAAAAAAGGAACTAAACAGTTACAGATATATTCCAATAGTTACTGGATGTTTAATAGTAATAATTAACAGAAATTCTGGATAAGATTAGAATTACTTCTTGTAAAAAGTCGGCAACTCCTTTTCTTTCAGGACACTTGAAACCCATGGTTTCGAAGAACTCAAGCACATTCTCCCGAGGACCTTGATACACAATCTGGCCATCTGAAAGAAGAATTATATCATCAAATAGGTCATATGTCTCCGGGGCTGGCTGGAGGAGAGAGATAAGAGCTGTTCCATTGAGGATATGGATGGACTGTCTCAATGAATTCACTATTTGATATGTTGTTGAACTGTCCAAACCAGTAGATATCTCATCCATGAAGAGTGCCCTTGCTGGTCCAACCAGCATCTCCCCTGGATCATTTTAGTGGGAAAACGGATTAAAAAAACACATGATAATCAGTCCAAAATTTTGGAATTGGTAGAACAAGTTTGTCCAATACTTGTCTGAAAATCATTGAACGAGATTTACCTGTAGTGACTCGCTTTTTTTGTCCACCAGAGATACCTCGTATCATTTCATTTCCCACCATGGTATCTGCACAAACTTCAAGTCCCAATATCTGCAAAGTTCCAATATTAGAGTATCAGAAAATACAAAGATTCTTTTCTGTCTCCTTAGCTTGGATCTGAAATTTGTACCTTGAGAATATAATCTGTAACTACACTGGCCTCTTGTCCCTCTAGTGCTGCGGCCTGCAAGTTTAACATTACTATGTCATTTGACCAAAAAAAAAAACACTTTGAAATGTACTACTGCAAAAGTAGACTGAATATTCTTTGTTCCCCTTCTCCGTTGTCTCACCTTCATATAGATATCAATATCAGGATCAGGCTTGATATTTGCTTCTTTCTCTCTACGAGACAATTCTGCCAACATCCCTGCCAAGTTCAAAAAGGAGAAAAACATTTAACTATAGAACACAAACTCTTCAGACCTATTGCATGTCATAGTTCAGGGTATTTCATTATACCATAACGAGGCCCAACCCCTTGACATCTTGCTGAAAAGGCTAATGTTTCCCTAACTGTCATTTCTCCTATGTGAAGATCATATTGGCTTATATAAGCTGATGTTCTCTGTGGCACGAATTCTTCCATCCCATGTCCATTGTAAGTTACTCTGCCTGAAAACTGAGATTTTCATATTTGCCAATATCAGATCATGATGCCAATCAGCTGTCCAAAAAAATTTGGAAGTACAATGAAATTTAGTTTCTTACTTTCAAATCTTTTCCGAGCTTTCCAGCCAAAGCCAACAGTAATGTGGTCTTGCCTGAGCTTGGGGGCCCTAAAAGCAATGTCATTCTGAAGAAGTTTGATCAAAGAAATGAGTGGTGCCAACTTATCGAGAGATTACGATGAATTTCTGAAATCTGGTGTAGAGATTGTACTCTTCTTACCTTCGAGGTTTAATAATTCCACTGACATCATTAAGGATTGGTAACGGTTTCTTTCTACTAGGAAGAATACGCAGGTAACTCAACAATCCCTTCAAAGAAACAGGGACATAGAAAAGTAGGTAAGGTCTGTTCAATTAGAAGGTGCAAAGGTGGTAGCTAATACATAATAAAGCTTGTTTCTGATTCAACAAGGAGGAGTACCTCTAGTATATTTGCAGAGAAGTTGAACATGGTAGGTAATGCTCTACTTCCCACATAAGCTTCTACTTCAACATTTAAATGCTCAAACCGGACTTCAATTGTTGGCATATCAAGTCCAACTCTGAGGTTTGAGTTGTGAAATCCAGAGAAAAACAACAATTTAATTAACTGAATGCATTAAACAATTGCAAGAGAAAAAGAGATGAAAAAAAATATTAATGGAACTTACCGCTCAATGCGTTCCTTAAGCTTCAACAAGAACTTCTCATTGTCTTCTTCTGCAATTTTCACTAGCCTTTCCAGCAGATTCCTTCTCTCTATGAACCCAAGGTCCTTTATATCAACCTCCCTTGATTGGCCTTCTTCTTCAGTGAGTATTCCTCTCCTTACACGCAAATACGTTGGCAGTTTCTCAATAGCAGCCCATTTCAAGGCTTCTTCATCATCTTCTTCACGAGAAGACTTGGAGAAAGCTTCCATGGTGTTGTTCCTCCAAATGCTAGAGCTTCCGATACGTGCACTGCTGACTCTAAATGCATCAGTACCGCTCTCCATTTTTTGCCAACGCCACCCAATGCAAGGATATTAGTTCAATATAAACCAAAAGAAAGTTTCTTTGGTTTGCTTTCATACAAAGAAACTCCAATTCATGAACTTTAGAGCTGGCTAGCAGCTCAGCTATAAGATATACGTGTATCTTTCTCGATTTGAGAGTTTGTTAATATTGGAGTCAATGGACAGAGGAAAAAAAAAACAAAATGCGAAAAAAGCTTAAAAATTGTCTTTGTGTCTTTCTCTGTTCTTTTTGAGGAGCATCAACAATATGCTGATTCTTTCTTGAAGGTTTTCATATGAGAGAAGGATACACACACACACATATATATATACACACACACACATAAAGTATAACTTAAGAAGCTCATATATACATTCTTCAACCATTTAATTTGGTCATGTTCTTTGTACTTAATTATAGGATGATGTAATGGCATATATCATATGAAGCGTAAGAGATTTAAAATGAACTACTCTATAATTCAGTATTCAATTTACTACTCAATAAAGAGGTAAATTGTTATATGAATTTCAATGTAATCATAAATCAGCACACAACATTGGCCTACAGTTTAATAATAAGAACTTCGTGAGATTATCAACACACATGGTAAACTTTAGCATCATGTGGTACGCCAGCCATTTTAATTGGTTGAGCTTTCTAGCTGATGTAGTAACTACAGCTTGTCCTTTCTGTTTATGGCTTGCCTGTCTAGTTTAAGGCTAAGAAACAATTGAGTTTATAGCTTTCAAAAATATGCCTAACCCAACCACATCTACAATAAACAAATCATTTTCACTCATGTTTAATTAGTATTGATTTGCTTTGTCGGCGTTAAACGCAGGTGTTACAACTTGAAAAATTAATTAATTACTACGCTTTTACCATGTGTTGATTCCCAAATCCATCGTCTGAGCTAAGCTTATTCGACTAAAAACAACTCTCCATTTCTTAGACATGCCAAAACCTCCAAGAAGTGTCCTATACGCCATGTCTTTAAGACAATCTTGAACTGTTCAGGAAACCAGCAGCTACTTGCGTTAATATTATAATATTTTATCTCATTTCCAAAATCCGTGAATAAATGATGTGTAAGGTTTGCTGCCAACCAAAACAAAATAAACTGATAAATTATAAGGATTTAATCATGTATATATTTGATGTCTGCCAATCCCACCTAATGCCGTCACCGAGATTTCCTGGAAATGGGTGCTTCTCCTAGATGTTGTTAGTCCTAGTTAATGCAGATATCTCAAATGATTTTCCCATTGATAGCTAGCTGTTTCTGAGGTCAGTTTTTTAATTGAATCTCCAGATTGATTAATTGTCATCCAGATCAAGTTTCACCCCGAGGGCACGTGCACCTTGGACCAAATAATAACTTACCTAATTAATCCAGAAAATTTGCCAGTATATCATGTTAGAATACAAATCACAAACGCATCAAACATCTCAGTAAGTAAACATTAGGATATATATAATTAGGGATCTGCATGCATCTTGACCCAAAGCTCAATGTTGCAAACTATGATAATTAATTTACTATTGAAAGTGATGATGAGGATCTGAGATTAGGTGCTGAGGCTGCTGTGAAAATCAAATACCTGGTATAATAAATTGACTTGGATTATATTTGTGTATCAAGCAGTAGGTCAAGAATCGTTATAAAGAATATCAGAATCAATCTTTAAAGATCTTCCAGTTCCCTCGCCAAGGTAGACTTTGGTTTGTTGCAGAGCCTACGTACTAATTAAAAGAGCTTACTAATTCTTGGATATTAATGCATGATATCAAAACCAAAAAGGATGGACGTCAAAGAAAGTAATTTGTTTACCGAGTTACACCTAGGTATGTTAAGCTTATGGACGAATGGTGTCAGGTGGCGTGTTGTTTGTTCCCTTAATAATATTTTTAGATCAATAATAAACAAAACCCAATGGGGTAAATTTTACCAAAAAAAAAAGAAAGGAGTAGTAGACGTCTGTGCTTATCTCAGCCTCATTTTACTATACTGACCCCCTTCATTTCCTTCTGTTTTTTTTTAATTAATTTTAATATTATTGTATCCTGAGACTGGTTAATGGCGTACTGTAAATATAGTTTCGCTCGTCATCGATAATGTGTAAGATAATAATTGATAAAAAAAACATCCATTGACTTTGCATACATTTTCTCAGGTTAGTCTTAGATAATTGATTATTCAAGTTATAATATTGGTGAGCATTAGGATATTTGAGACATAAATTCTTGGAAATTTACCTTTTCATCTTTGTCTTGATGGTTTTACTACCTTTGAATTCATTTCATTTTCTCTATATTCTTTGAATTTCTCACAATCTTAACCACATGCATTCAAACAATAAGCGTTAGGTGAAAGTGATGTAACTTTTAAATTTTCCATTTTACTTGGAGCAAACTCAAAAATAAAATAAAGCATGTAGAAGAATTATACTATACTATTTTCTCTTTAACTTTAAACTTAGAATAAATTGCATCCATCATTCCTTAAATTTGATTCAAATTTTCGTTTTTACAAATTCAAATGACATATTTTTATGTTCAAATTTTTATAAGCTTGAGTCGGTTATATACATGCACCGTAAGTTGACGCTTTTAAATATCATCAACGAGATTAGAGGATTGTCACATATATTTTTATTAGCATATATTTAAAAAATTCATAAATTATTATAATAATAAAATATTACATACATTCTCTAACTTGATTTGTGATGTTTTAAAATTTCAACGATAATATATTATGTCAATTGGTAAGTTAACCATTTTTTTTGGAGGTATTGAATTAATTGTATTAATTAAATTAAAGAAAGGCATTTCTTTTATAAAGTTTGATATGTAGCATGAAAACAAAAATACGACTGGTCAAACTATATGAGAACAACAGTATATATATCTAGGTCAAACTTTAGGGAAACTTGGTGTATTTACTCTTAAAATTATACAAAATCACAATTTAAATAAACAAATAGAGAAAATTAACTCAAGAAATAGAAAAATGCTTAATTAGCTTCAAAGTCAGCCCTAATTGATGCACAATATTAGAAATTTTCAATTCAAATTAATACCAAGAAGCATGCAACAGATTCCAAATTAATGTACAAAATAATAAAGCAAAGTCAACAAAAAATGAATATTAGAATGCCTCAGAGCCGTTCATATATATATATATATGCAGCCAAATGTCCCATATTATTCTCGCAAGCCAAGAACCCAAAAAAATCTATGATATACGCATAATCATACGTCCCATGTGTAGAAAATCCCCACAGCTACGGAGAAAATCTGTTTGGTCCAACACCAAATTGTTATTTAAATCTGCATATTTGCGTACATTTCTCCTTTTTAAATTATTTGCTACTATTGTATTATATTGTGTTTAAGGTACATGCATCTAAGTGGGGTTGCAAGATGCTGGCCAAAATTAATCGAAAAAACAAGTCTTGCATTATGTGACTCCACTCATTTAGTCTTAAAGAAATATTCTTTGCTTGGGAAACCTATCTTCCTGACATCGAAATAACTTTTAATTTAAAACAATGGCCTTCTATCGAATCTCCATCATTTTTATAATGTAAACATATCTAAGGGTTTGCATATCCATCATTAACGTTTTTTGGTAGTACGGCAGGATTATCTAGTAGATGATACTCTGGTTTATTATTTAATGTGTATGGTTTAATTTCTCTAGACAGAATTAACTAAAAACGTTTTTTTTTTTTTTGTTTATGTCCTTCTAATATGTAATGCTGACTGTTTATGGATGATTTGTGGGTTAATTGTCTTGATTTTTGGATTATTTGGTTTAAATAGAGCTCAAGTTGAAGAAGAGAACGAAATTTTTAGACGATGAAATAATAATAATGTTGGCTCAATGACAAACTAAAACCAAATGGAATCTTTGGCTGCTTTTTTATTTGCAAGCCAACAAGAATATTTTCTCATTAACCTTTCTTTTCAAGCCTTCAAGGGTCGACTCCATGCTTATCTTTTATATATATGCATATAGCTTTGTTTTGACTCTTTATTCTAGTAATTAGTTTAATTATTTTTGTTTCTTATAACCTATATTTATGATATATATAATCATCGTAATCAAACAACAAACATAACATATATATATATATATAGAAGGTAAGTAATACATTATGTAAAAGGAATTGATTAATTAAACAAACAAACAAAATTAATCAGAGTTTAAGAAGATTTAAATAAAATTGAACCAAATTCATGTACAGTGAGACTAGAATCAAATCCATGTAGGATGAGATTAGAATCTTGCCAATTATCTTTGAGATATGATCTTTTTACAATTACTTTAGTTAAAGCAATGAACTTCAAAGGATTCTTTAATTTGGTGATAAATTGTTTGAGCATTTTATTCTTCTTTGAATCGTTGTGATTCCAGGACGCAAACTGCCATATAAGCTTTGAATAAATTGCCACTTGAACTGTTAAACATCATTTTCGGTATGATTAATTAAACCATAAATTGAAGCCGTAATTTAGGGATTTCTCTTGGCTTCTTCCACTACTTTATTTATTGAATCGACTTGCGGCTAGTTTCATAGTTACAAGCATTACGATATCTTGATTGGATGTTAGAGCCAAATAATCTTCAAATTCGGATGGCTCTGACAATGATATAAATTAATTAATATAAAGGGTTAGAATAATCGCTTATAGAAACTCAGGTTTAAATCCTATTAAAAGCACTTGGATTTATTCCCTTTTTTAAAGTATCACCTTACTCATAAATTGAAAACAGTGATGAAATCAAAATTTTATATAAGAAGTGATTAAATAGTAAATACTTGATTTTGATTAATATTTATATTTTTAAAAATTATTTTTTAGCATAATATTGTACAAAGAATAGTGAAAATAACCATTACAAATGAATCACTATTTCACATACAACAACTAAAACACGTAAAGAACTACTTCACGTATAACAATTAAAATTGATGAATTACTACTT